GCTGAGGCAGAAGGATCGCCGGAGCCCAGCAGGTGAGGCTGCAGTGGCCGGGAGCGGCCAATGCACTCCAGTCTGGGCGACGGAGTGAGACTCCAACTCAAAAAAAAAAAGTAAAATAAAATTAAAAAAAAGAAAAATAGACCCTTGAATGGTTTTGTATTCTAGGAATGAAGTACAGCTTTTGCAGGGTTACAAGAAATTCTTGTTTATCTTCTATGTAAATTTACAATTACATAAAATTGTTCTTAGGTTGGTAATGGGTTGCATGAAATAGAGAACTGAGAGACCACCTTACAGCATTTGTATGTTGTCTAAGACAAGCTGCTGACCTCCCTGGTTTGTGTAAGTTTGTATAGTAACACAGTTGGGACAAATCCAACTCCTTTGACTTTGGGCCCAACTTGTTTAGATCATTGTCTGCCTTAGATGTGAACCAAGGGATACATGGCATTTACTTTGGAAATTTCCTTGGAGTTTTTAGCACCGTAACCAGGAATACATCAGAGACACTTAGAGGTTATCTGGATAGACATGATTATTTATTATAGAATCTGATAAAAGTGCTTACTCCTTACTTAAAGAACTGCTGTGATAGCTACCCTTCTCATGACTTCGCCACAACTGATCCTTTCTGTGAGACACGTGGTTGGTGAGAAAGAATCTCTGGCAACTGCACAGTGTATTTATTAGGATACAGCTTCTATATTTATCAAATAAGTCTGGATACTTTCTGGAGAGGTATTCATGGTCTACTATGCAAATTATTGCAACGTAGTAAGTAAAAGCTGATCCATTATGAGACTTCTGTAAATGTGTAGTGAAGTTAATATTTCCTAACCCCTGGACTAATTCTGTGACCACCATGCTATGATTATCCCTTTAGCCTCATATGTAGTCTTCTGTAATTGTCCCCTTAGTATCATTATTTAGAAAACATTGTGTCATTTAGTCACAAATTCTATAAAGATATATGTATTAAATAGCCAAGATGTAGTCTCCCCTTAAGATCCTAGAATACTAGAGGATGATGACTGACAGCCTAAAAATGGCTTTTATTGAGTGTTCATTCTATACCAGGCACTTTGTGTGAATTATTTTATCCTCATAAAAAGCTTAAAAGCAGGGGTGCTCAACTCTTACTATCCCCATTTTTATAGCCAAGAAAATTGAGGTTTAGAAAAATGACTTATAGTAAGTCTATATACAGACCTTCAAGTTGTGAACTTTCAAAGATTTGAATGTGCATTTTGCATGTCCAGTCATGTAAGTTAATTCACATATTTGGCATTCATTGTTAAGTACATGCATCCTCTACACGTGCATCTGTGCTTTTGTATACTTTATAGTACTGTATAGATTACAATATCTTTATTTCAAGTACAGGATATCAGGAAGCACATGTTAAAAAAAAAGTAACTGAAGAACTGAAGAGATCTGCAATGTAAGAAATGACAAGGAAATTTTCTTTATTTGAAGAGGCACTGTTAGTTTTTGAGGCACAGGACCCTAGAACAGTATACAAGGGTTGCGGCAGCTATTTAGAATGCAATGCAGTGCTACTGTGTCATCCATGATGAGAAAAAAAGAGCTACTACCCAGATATCATTGAATTGTTTTTTTAAGAGGGCAAATAGAATTGAATCCAGTAAGGAACCAGAACCTAAGGCATTAATGTCAGCGTGAGTGAAATTGCAGCTTACCTTCCGTCTCCTATTGCTGACGATCCTTCAGCTCTACCATCTCCCACCTCCTCTCCCTCCTCCAGTCAGTAACTCTTCTTGCCTGTTCACTTGTTGCCAGCCCCTGTATGCCAGCTGGTATACTGTACTACTGTACTTTTCAAGGTACTGTACTGTAAGATTAGAAATGTTTTCTTTTGTGTATGTTCCTTTTCATGTATTATTTGTGTGACAAGTATTATAAACCTATTACGGTACAGCACAGTACTATATAGCCGATGTGTTTGTTGGGTACCTAGGCTAATTTTGTTGGTCTTATGAACAAACTGAACTTAACAAACGTGTTCTCGGCATGGAACTTGTCTGTATGTAGAGGATTTACTCTACTTAAGATTACATTGCTAGTAAACTAACTCCAGCTTGTTTGATGTTAGTATTCTAAATAATTATGTATGTTATTTTGAGAATGTGCAGTATGGGTATGGAAGCTCATGCCTGTAATTCCAGCACTTTGGGAAGCTGAGGTGGGAGGATTGCTTGAGGCCAGAAGTTTGACACCAGCCTGGGCAACGTAATAAGGCTCTGTCTCTATCAAAACTAGTGTTAAAAATTAGCTGGACATGGTGGCATGTGCCTGTAGTTCCAGCTTCTCGATCACTTGAGCCCAGGAAGTGGAGGCTGCAGTGAACCATGGTCGTACCACTGCACTCCAGCCTGGATGACAGAGTGAGACCCTGCTTTACAACAAACAAAAAACCAAAATTCTCAAAACTCTCTTCAGAAAAGTAATGAATCTGAGATGCTGCTGTGATTTGTGTTTTTTTTCCAGGCACATACTTGGCTTTGGCAAAATAAACCTCAAAATAGATTGAGATCAGTCTCAGTCACTTTTTGGTTTACAATAGTAATAAAGTGAAGGAATTAATGGAGGAAGTGAGACTGGCGTGTAGAAAATAGAAATGAGGATGAAAAAGAAAGGACAAGCTTTAAAGAGTAAGAAATAAAAGAATCCCAGAGTCTTTCACCCTTTCGAAGTTCTCGAGTTATTAACATTAAATTCAATTATAGTTTATATAGATACCATTTTTTTTTTTTTTTAGACCTCTGAGTTTACTCTGGGTAGACAAGTACTAAGAAAATATAGAACTCATGAGTTAAATGGAATTAGATTTTCTTTCTGTCTCAGGAAATTCTGGAAATGGGTCCAGTTGCATGTATGTCTGCTTTTCTACACTGAAATAAAATCATCCG